GATAAAAATAGTGTGCACAACTCCAATTTTCTTACAAAAAAAGGGGAAAGAGTAAATGGGTGCCAGGTTCTGAAGAATCATAAAAAAAAGCCCTTATTAAAAACATGATATTTTTTGGAGTGCTGGTTATCACTTTTTCATAATTGTAAATGTATATATATGACATCGTAAATTTAGAATCAGGTCACCCAACAATATTTGTCCACAAATCTGTTGCGGTTTAAACTCCATGGTTTTTATCAAACAGTTTTCTCCAAGCACAACATCTGTTTTATCTCCATTTATGAATTTTTGGCCACATAACTATCTTTATAAATGCCTGCTTCCTGGTAGCCTATAATAGTTGGCCACTAGAAGCTAGCAGGTTCTTTTAAAGCGAGTGGGTGAAGCCAAATATAGCGTCTGAGGCTTTCAGCACAAACAAATACTGTCACAAATTTCTTACTAATCACACAAAGTTCCACTGTGGAGGAGGGTAAAAAGTTCGGCCAGTGGGTTGTGACAAGAAGGGGCAGCAGAGTCGATGATGAGAGCACACTGATGTAATTTTCGTCATAAAACTGCGACATTGAGAGCCGATTTGGTAGTTCGGAGGAAGCATATAGAGACCTGTATCTGTACCATCAGAGAGGTGGCACAACAGTGGTAGACTAAATTCTTAAGTTTATCTTGATATAGAGAAAATTATTTGAATTAAACAAAAAAAAAGAAAAGAAATGGACAATAATCTTCAATCATAAAGCTAGTTCAACTAGCTGTTAAGTGACAGAACAGATATGAAACCGAAGATACCTAAAAACTAAAAATACAGCAATGGTGAAATAAAGACTTGTCAGACAGTAACAGGAATGACAGGCAAGTAGTTGTCTAACTGTTTAGGCAGATTCAAAAAGATGAAAGACTTGAAAAGGTAGTAGGACACCAGCCTTCATTCTCCAAGCAGCTCAAACTCAAACCCACAATGACAAGACAAATTCTTTCCAACTTTTTTGTAAATTAAGGTTTTATTTGTCCTGTCTAAGGGACCATTTGATCTGTATGGAGCTGTGGCCATCAGACAAACATCGACTCGCCTACACAACTTCATTGCTGATCTTCCAGTACTGCCTGCCACTTGTGCTGGTCCTTCTCTGTTACCTAAGGATCTTCCTCCGCCTGAGAAGACGCAGGTAATAGTGTTTGACTTTCTTACTTTTTATAGGAGCTATTTATTTGTCACATTGTTTGGTTTGATCTTTAGCCATGAATCGTCTGTGAAAAGACCCCATGTTGTGTTGTGTAGGGATATACTGGAGCGCAGCAGGAGGACTCGAGGAGCGCAGAGGATTAACATCATGCTGTTAGCCATTGTGGTGGCCTTTGCTCTATGCTGGCTCCCGTTGAATGTCTTCAACACTCTGTTTGACTGGCACCACCAGGCCCTCCCTGACTGTCAGCATGATGCTGTCTTCTCCGCCTGTCATCTCACGGCAATGGCTTCTACCTGCATCAACCCCGTGGTGTACGGCTTTCTCAACAGCAACTTCCAGCGGGAGCTGAGGACAACATTGCAGCGCTGCCAGTGTGGCAACCGGGCGGGGGAGAGCTACGAGAGCTTCCCCCTGTCCACCGTGGGCAGCGAGGGAGTGACGAAAGCCACGTCGCTTAACAGGATGGGATCCGTTTGCGTTCCCTCGCCCAGACTTGAAATGAGTTCAGCTGTACTAGCCAAAACATTACCAGCTAACATGTAATTTTGAGGACCATTTAATTTTTCTCTGACAAAGTTTTAGCTGGGACGTTTGTCAGGAGTGTATAACAGAGACAAGAGATGAGGAGTATGGCTGATGTAGCTTTGAGCCCAGATCACAAAAAGGCAAACTGAGGACCAACTCACACCGTTTAAGAACTATTACCGGAGCTGCCAATACAGACACTCAAAAACCATGGCTTTCAAATGGTGGTACATGGATTACTAGTTGTATGTGAGTTCTGCCAAATAGTACAAAGAAGACATTTTTTAATATAATCTATTTCACATGTTTGGCTAACAGCTTAAGGTTTCTGCATGGTTTCCCCATCTTTGAGTCAGGCACTGATGAAGTTTACCTCGGCCCATGGGTAGCTGGCATAAACAGTCTCCTGGGATCCACATTGGTTTCCCATGGAGGTACTTGGCAGACCCTTGCAGATGGCACACCTGACAAACTTTGCATCTGTCTGGCCTCACAACCAAGAAGATGCAGAAGTCATGCAGTCAGCTTTTACTGTTTTAGATCAACTGTAAAAAGTGTCCTTTTGAGAGGTTCTTGACATATAGTTGTTATTCTTGATGTTCTAACTTGTGTTGTGTGTGAATGACCACTTTAAAGGGACTTTGGTATAAAAATGTATTTTTTGTTAGCTGTATTAGTGGTACCTATAGAGCTAATTATTAAAAAAAGTAAGTTGGAGAACAGCAGTTCTTACAACACTCTTGTACTACAGGTCCACTGATGCCTCTTTTCCTGATAAATCAATGGGTTTCTTGATGTTGAACAAAGAGGCATGCCCCTAACTGCAAGACTTTGTAATCTAAGTTATAGTGGTGGTTTCATTGTCAAACCATACAGTAGGGTTCTCTTCACAAAGTCAGGGCTTTGGAGTTCCAAATAGGAAAAAAATGAACTGAAACAACTCTTCTTCAAGGTGAGTTGAAAATCATAAATTTAGCGTATCCGAATTGGAAATTGACAGCAGTTGATTTGGGTTGTTTGGTCATTTTCTTACACGCATATCTTCATAGCTTAAAAGTAGTTCACTTTCTCCATTTTCTGCCAGTATTGTTGATTTTAAGCTGGCTCAAGCGTCTTTGCGTCACATCAATCTTTTCTAGTTTATGGACCGTCAATCTTCATAAAAGAAGAAATATTGAAGCTAAAACTCTGTCATTTCTGTGATAATGTAATGTATTTTATTTTCCTTTTCGGCAGAGACATATTCTATGCACTCGTGGTGACATTAGTTGAAGAGGTCTATTGCTAGTTATCCTGGTCACTCAGAACAACACTTAAACATTATATTTTTTTCTGATTTTCAAATTGAACACAGCTAAGTTGGGTTATCTTTCCCTGATCGGAGTTCCAACTTCTAAGGAAAAATAGAGTGAAAAAAGGGATCTGGCATCTAGAGGCATAGGTGTTTCTGCCAGTCAAAACTGACTGTTAGGTTGTGAGGAAGTCCAAAACCCAGGTAAACATTGTGG